AGGCTCCAGATGCCGCTCACTATTAATTCCCCACATGAATAATGTAAAAAACATGATTTTTTTCTCGGGAATAATTAACTCAAAAGTGATGCGATTCATAGGCTACGCTAAGAACTGCTTGGAAAAACCAATGCAGTCAAAAAGGAATAAAAAATCATACAATAGAAGCTAAGGTAACAACGGAACTGAATATTTAGGTAAGACACGAACCTCCAGACTTCTTCACCGATGAAGCTGGGACCACACAATTTTCTTCAGGAACGTCGTTGTAAGAATCTCCTTTCTACAAAAAAGTCGTAATTGGCGAATCCGCTATACTTTACATGGGAATTCATATAGAATCTGCCTTACCTTAAGCTGTTCCTGCGTAATTTCGGACATTGTCGATACATCCAACGAAAATGGCGTTGCTGTACTTACAGTTATTGTGTCGGTCACAGATGAGGAAGTCTTAAAAAATTCAGTCTAGAAGGGAAGCAAAACGTTATGGAGCAAATTCATGAAAACATTGATAGGGGAAATAATCTGAAATTCGGCGCTATCGCAAGATACGGGGCTTCTGTCAAACGGGACGAAGCCTTGGGCGGGAAGGAGACTCCAGGGTGCGTGAGCAATTTCCATTTCTCCCAGAGTTTCTGCCCCCGAAGCTTAGTCTTGTAGGATGCCTAGCTATCTTGCAAAAGCGCCTAAAAATCGTTTTCAATCATTAAAATCAGACTGTTGATATTCCAACTTATTCAATTCTGCGGCTATGGAATGAAAGAGAAGTTGCGAATAAAATCTACATGTTAGTGACTACGCAACGCTCTGACTCGCTCGAACCCGGCCGAAGCGGAAGCCGTGATTGAATCATTCCAACTTTTACACACGCTATCGTCATCGGAGACAAACGGAACAGATTCGGCATTTAATTGAAAGAAATGCCAATTACTAAGCTTTAAAAAAAGCCCGCGTGGCTCCGCTATTTTCTATTACAACCTCTAGTGAACTGAAAGCATTTCCATGACAACTCGAATAAGTACTGACAGAAAATCCCACTAACCGGTTGACTAACGACAGGTGCTTTGCTGGACTCAGACGTATCATCGTCTACACGCTTCTTCTCTTTGCTGCATAATTGAAGCCGATCGAACTGCCCGATCAATGCTTTGACCGGAGACGGTGTCGAGAAAGAGCTGCCCATAGCCAGCACCGACCGATCAGCGTGAAGCTCTTTATTATGATGAAGTTGCTCGTTTCTACAATATCATTGAATGAGAAACTTAAACGTAACGTAAGAGCTGCAAAAACAATTTGAGTGGTATAAAAATAGACAAGATAACTCATGTTCAGATATCCTATTGGGTCAGATTCATTAACATATTGAGAACCAAGGGGCGGGTTAAGTGGTACTCAAATTACATCATACGAGACGATGAGATCGTTGACGTCAAGATGTCACTACGTCTTGACGTCAACGATCAAAGCTAACGCTTCATCTTCACAGATCGATTCACAGGCCACAGAGTTTCATGCTGCGGGCACTGGCATTTCTTGATATGTTTCAGAAAAGATGCAGCCAGTACTGAACAATTGTGCACCAGCGCATGGAAGTAATTTAGAGAGTAGCGAATAATGTAACGGTCCAGAAATAAAGTTATGCTACCTATTACTACAGTATGCTACCTATTACTACAGTACTCCTACTTTGACATCTACACAGCATTAGAGACTGATGAGAGAAATAGCCTTCGCCACCGTCGTGTGTGCCAGTAGTTACAACTGAGCTTCAGAAACGCAATAAACAACCCAAAATTGGCTCTATAGCAAGATACGGGGGCATCGTAGTAGTGATACATTGAAAACCGCTTGAGAAACCTTGGTCTTGTCAAAAGCGGACCAACCTTAGGTGGGGCAAGCAAAACTCCAAGTTGTGTAAGCACTTTTTATTTTCTCTGGAGTTTCCGCCACTCCTAGGCTTAGTTCTAGAGGGTACGCCCGTATCTTGCGATAGCGCTCCAAAATTGTTGAAGATGCCAGAATAATAGATGGTTATCGGTGTCATATACTGCAGCTTAACAGAAGTTGCATTTGTGGATATAATAGCCCCATCCCAGCAAATTCGGGCGGGGTGCAAGGAACTGCATAGCCTGGATGTTCCCAAGCATCCCTTATATATGAATCAGCAATAACCGTGCGTCTTCTCCTCCAAAATTAGGTTGTCGGAAAAGTCTTTGCGCATTTGGCAACTTTTTTTCAAAATTGTTTTTCTTCTTTAGAAAAACCAATCCATTTGCTAACATTATCGTTCACCAATAGCAGTGGACTTCGTTGGCAGCAGCTCTCCGTGAGCGAAACATTTGCAGCCTCATGAGCTTTCAATGTTGCCTCCCAAGTTGCAGTACTCGAATCGGCGTTGCAATCTTTTGTTCTACGCATCCGAGCCAGTCGTGCTTTCGAGTGCGGTAAATCTGAGGATCCCACTTCTTGACACTACCAACAAAGTTGGCGGATCAAGCGATAGACGGGCGGGAAATCAAAATATTCTTGCAGAATTTAATGGTCTCAATAGCGTGTAGTCAGTCAGATCTCAAAATATGCTTTCGCCATAATTTCACTTCTTTTAGAGGCTATATTGAGGAACGGTCATGTGTGTATCACTGAAAGAGCTCCGCCAATTACCATGCATTGCACTAAGCACTCTCCAATCGAATTCAGAATGCACTCGTCAATGAGGGTGGCAGGCCGATCAGATTTGTGGTTTTTTTCGCAAGTATCTCGAACTCGGCAACCAAATAATCACCATATTGTGAAAGATAGTTCAGAGGATAATCACGACATGTAGAACTCCCACTGCTTCGCTCCTATCAACGCATTTTAGAGGCTTATAAAGGCAGGACCAGTTAGACATACCTTCGGTGAAAGGCGATTTTTAAGCTTCAAAAGCTGCGAAATGCTACGACAGAAATGCTGTGAAGAGAGCATTAACCACCGCTCATATGCGTATGACAGTGAATGTTTCAAAACAATTCGAAAAGATTTTGCAAGGTGAAAATGAAAATGCGCAAGAACTTTTCCGACAACCTAATATTTTGCACTCTAGATTTCTCCTATCGTTTTGGCCATTACCCCTGCGCTCACACAAGTTTTCCACAAATGAGAGGCACCCCCTACAGTCCTTCGCAAGATAGTTTTGCCCATTTTTATATCTGGTACTGAGTTGTAAGAGATCTTCCAATCCACTAACTCAATATAAAAAATGCTGTAAACAACGAGCGAATCGCATTGGTGTTTCGTAGTAGTAACAAATAAGCGGAATGAATTACAAGAAACCCCATAAGAAGTAAAATATAATTTGTATCGAAATGATGAAACAGCTTAGAGTTGTGGTATTAGTTTGAGTCCTTTATCATTGTTTGTTTTGATGATAACACTTTCCTTGGTTTTGTTCTGTCACGCTTCTCAGTGATTTCTTGATTTTGCCATCGCTTTCCCTTCTTCCGAATGGTGTGGCTTCAGTAGGCTTGGCGAACCTACTAAGATGTATCCGGAGCCGCTTGATGTCTAGTGCTACTTGCAGTGTTGGCAGGGCCACTGCTCTTCACCACCGAGTGTCCCACGCTCGCTGTCGTTAGTATCTTCCCCTTATTCCTCATGAGTATAGGCTTTGTTTTCTTACATACATAATCGGAAATTGCTACATAATGACATGTTTTGTGTTGCGTTGTGTTTAATACCACAGATAAATAAAAATCAAAACAACAGTAATAATAAGAACAATATCAATGCTGGTGGTCTTTGGTCTAAACTATTCGCCGCAGGCGAGATCATTTTTTTTCTTTTCTTTACTTCCAGCCTAGGGAGGGGAGTTTTGCCCATTATCCAACCTTCTTCTGAAAACTTTCGCATGGCGACCGTAGCCAAAACAGTCACCAATCAAAAACAAGTCAAAAATAATACAATCAACATATTTTTCATTACTCAAACGATCAAGAATCGCGACAGAAATCGATTACCAGGAATGCGCAAAACCTATATTTCATCAAATATACTCTAAGGAAAAGCATGGTCCATTTAATCCTTCAAATCTAATACTGCATTTGGGGCTTGTATTGTAGATTGAACTCTTCAAATAGATTCTCAAATATATACATTTCGGTGCGGGATGGTGATGGAAAAGAAGAAGGAGTGGGACAAGGAGAGTGAGAGGGCAAAGAAGAGAAAATAAGAAAGAGAGTGGTAATGGAGAGGACAAAAACAAATTTTTGGCTCGACGTATATATTTACACTGACAGCCTTGGACTGCCACAAAATAAATGCTGGGCATCTCATGAAGATCATAACAGTTGATTTACTCAGATTTTATGGGTTACATTAGGCACACTACAATTTATCCTTCACTTCCACCTTGAATTGGCGATCTTTTCACTCCTAATATGACCTTCGTTTTCTTTTTATTTAGTTTTCTGTTTTTTTTCCTCTTTTTTTAGCTCTAAATGCGCGAAGCGCGAAAGGTCAACATAACACACTGTCAATGTCGGACCATGGATCAAGTCTCATTGGAAAAGGTGGGCGTGATTTCACGCTCAAACTGGAAGGTTTGAACCATTATGAGAAGGACAGACTGTTGAGACGGAGTTTTTTGTGCACCATTTAATTTTTGGACCATTTACCAGCTGCCATCCACACTGGAGGGGGGTTGAGGTCCGGATGACGTTCCATGGTGATATAAATGGAAGGGGTCATTGTGGAGCGGCTTTAAGAATTTCGTCCCGATCGTGTATCATTAGGTTTTATGACATCGGCTGCAAATCTGCATGAACCGAAGCGTTCCAGCAGTTTCGGGCCATGGCGACCAGGTCACTCCAGAAAATCCGATGAAGCTTCGGATCAAACAAAAGTTGCAACTGGTTTGAGTTGTTGTGGGTGAATGAATTGGAAAGGATTTACGATGAAAAAGTCAGTCAGTGAGCCAGTGCATAAAGACTACGGAACTTCTAAAAAAAGGATAAGGAAGCATTTGCCGTTGATCAATCCCTTTTTGGGATGCGGCACGCATTCTACTTCCATTTGTACATTCGCAGTGGCGTTTGAATGCGATGTGGCCTATACAATGACTTGCGGGGGCCAGCCGATGTACAAGTCAGTGTTTTTATCCTCCCAGACAAGTCTGGTACCAATTAACCGACCCGGAGGGATGGAAGGCTTGGTTGGCCCGGGCTCACGACCCAGGATTTGATCCCGGACCGCTCGCGTGGTAGCACTTGTGCATACGCCATTGCGCACTTACTAATATATCATAGTACTAATGAAGAGCTACTCGAGCTTAAGAATTTTAATTCGATAGTGAACTTTTAGAAAAGATAACGCGCTTTTCCAGCTTGAAATAAACATGTTATATAGATAAATGAATCGGGGAGGTTGCAGTGAGTGCCGCTTATGCAAAATAAGTAACAGAGTTTGTGCGCTCGTGAAGTGGTTAATTTCCTGGTGGTTTTGATATGGGTAGGTGTTTTAAGCGATAAGTGGCGTCGCATGGCCCAGTGACCAGTCCGGGGTTGAAATCCGGACCGAATCTCCGTCAGGCCAACTAACTTCAACTCCACTTACATAGTCATCCCCTGGGCAAATGTTGCGCATGTTAACTACAAGTCTATACACTTAGGCGCGGAAATTTTTAAAGGCGAGAGGTGCTGCTTTTCGCGACGCGTTAGGGTTCCAAATTCTGGAACGTACGCCGTCCAGACTTCCTCGCTTGAATTAAACTCGTTCTAGAGACTGTCTGGAGGATAGAGAACTCTATACTTGTAAACATCGAGCTCCTTGTCAGCAGTTGCTTCCAAATGCCTTTATCATTCTGAATGGAGAAGAATGCGTGACACATCTAAGGGGTGGTCAAGCATCTACATTTTTTTCCTGTTACTTCACGGCCATTGATTAATGCCCACAGATTGAACGCATGTGGTTTCGCAAGCACTTATCTTAGAGAACTGTCTCTCAGTCGTGTATGCTGAATGAAGCCAGTGCGTGGCATACCAAAATGTAGTGGTTGACGAGGTAAGTACCAGGTACCCATCTTACAGAATTGCTGGTAATCATAGAAAGTTCTATTGGCCTGCTGAGTAGAAAACATTTGATGAGAAAAAGAATTGTGTGAAAAGAAAACAGTTCAACAGTTCAATTAGAACTGGATTTTTTTATTTT